AATGAGATAGTACAATGTATTAAATATTTCAATTTGTTTAACTTACAGAATTTCTTCATGAACAATCAATTGTCATGGTAGCAGTTGATGTTATAATACTATATAATATCGAGTTTTATAATTAATTATATTAACATTTTTGTAATCCTAAAATGAATTTAAACATCAATATCTCCAATCATTTTCGTGTTAATAGAATTTTCATGACTAAGGAAACTATTTTATATTAATTGATTTTAAATTTATAAATCTAACACTTTTTTACATTTTAGATTGGTCGAGTTCATTTTTTACCTTTTATAAAAAAGAGAAAATTAAAAGTTTTCCTATGAATGTCAGATAATTGAGGAGCCTTACCAAATAGCGGGGCCTAAAGCAAATGCTTTACATGCTTTATAGAAAAGCCACTCTTGGTTATACCTTATCAAGTACTTTTGAAAATAAATTAGAAAAAAAAGCAGTTAAACTATGACTGAAACATGAATATCAGAATATTTTATTTCTTGAAAGGTAAAATGTTCTAGATTTTGAACAAATGAACAATTTGTAAAATGTAGGCAAGATAAATAGAATATTGCAATGATTGAATAATAAATGGATGATACAATGTTTCACAACAACACGGCAACACCAATTTCTATGACGTAAAAATTTCTACATTCGGATAACCTTAAAAAGAGAAGGAAGAAATTACAGAACTACTATAAAAAAAAATAATACATGGCAGACAAGAATCCTTTTATGCGAATAATGGTTAAAAAGAGGACGAATTGCAATGATTTGTGAATTGAACTCTAGCCATAACATCTTGGAACTCTTTCCTATTAATAAAAACCAGATCAAACATGTTTTTCAATATAAATCTTGTTACACTTTTTCATTAATTTATCTAGTTATTGAAAGACATCGCTGTTAATTTGCATAATTAGTTTTATAGATTATAAAAAAAAAGATTATATAGTATACATTTTTAATGTTTTGCGGAGAAAAATCAATCACACTTTATATTACTTTGATAAGAAGAAAAAAATACTCCCTTCACCCCAATATATATATATATATATATATAATCCAAATTGTAATTTGTAAATGGTTCATTTCTTTTAGAACTAACCATGAACTATAATGTGGACTAATTTTTTCGGATGTAGAGCATAAATTCTTAAATGAATTGAAGGCATGCGTCATGTGAAATTTATATACCCATCAATCAAATCAATTAGAAGTTAGGACTATATTGAAATTTTTGGTGTCTCTAGTCTGGTGTAATTTTGATTTCATTTTTTCCCATGTAGAATAGAACATTTTTTTTAAGGAAAATGAAGTGGAACATCTCAATTATCGACAGATTGAATTTAACTAGAATAACTGCTTTACATATTGATGAAAGATATTTATAAAGTGGGAAATATTAGCGGATACATCCCAATGTTTAGTCTTTACTTGTCAATCTATCCCAAACTTTTAAAATTGAGTAATGATATCCCAAGGTTTTTAAAATTGAGCGCAACCGCCCCATGACCTGAAACAACACAAAATTGACTTGGTACAATAGGTGAAAATTGGTTCTCTCTCTCTCTCTCTCTCTCTTAATATTTATAATTTTTTTATAAAATTTTTCCAAATCTGGTTATAACCTTATTATGAAGAAGCAATTGGTTATTCAAATTTTTTAAATTATTTAATATCTAAATGGTGAATTTTGTTTCAACATGTTTCAGGCATAAATTGAAACCTTTACCTGTATTTGGATATTTTTTAGTGTGTGTTTTTAGATATCTTTTGTATTGAGATTATAAAAATATGTCAGAAATATAAAATATGTGTTGAAATTGGACATTTATTTTAAATTATTATGAAAAAAACCATCAAAAAAAATATTCCAAACAGATTGGAAACAATTTTTTTTTTAAATCCACCCTAGCGGACCTCACTTAAATGTGGGTAAAATCCGCTCTTACAACCCCTGGTGGTAATCGAACCCTGGTCTATTACCAGGATGGACAGCAACCTAACCACTAGGCTGTCATTCAATTCCCAAACAGATTGGAAACATAGTCTTTTGTTCGGTAACGGTAACAGTATTGGGAGAGATGAGGTGATGGAATGACATAATTAACCAGACTAAATAAAAAAATATAAAATAGTAAAGAGAATAAGTTGTAAAAGAAGTAAATACCAAACTAAATAAAAATTTATGAAACTAAGTAAATTTATTTGTTGCTCCAGATTAACAATAGGTCATGGGACGGTTGCGCTCAATTTTAAAAAATTTGGGATATAACTACTCGATTTTAAAAGTTTGAGATGAATTGACAAGTAGAGGGTAAATGTTGGGATGAATCCACCAATTAACTTCGATAAGGTGAAAAAAGAAAAGGAAAAAAAATTGGTCAAACTGCTGATAAAGTGCACCAATCATCTCCAAAAAAGCTTTTACAACTCCTGGCAATTATGTTTTTTTGTTATCATATTGATGAACACAATAACTCCATAAATTATTTTAGTCATCAAACTACCAAAAATACAAGATTAAATTTTCAAATGCCACCAAATATTCAAAAAAAATAATAATAAGTACCAAAAAAAATTGAGAAGTAAAAATTACAAGAAAATGATCTCACCCGTTCATTTTTTAAAATTTTCCATATGGGATTTATGCATTTAAGGTTAGGGCATAGTTTAGATGTTTGACACATCATTCTTTGTCATTTGTTCATTGTATTTTTTCCCCTGTACTTATCACTATTATATTCAAAATTCACCAAATTTTCACTTTACACATAATTTTCTACATTCACCGGCTTACCTAAATTATATTTCAAATTGTCACAACTAACCCAAGATTTAAATTGCCACGAAATTTTCAAAGTCTGCCTGATGTCCAAACTTTTCAAAATCCTCACCAAAACCTCCAAAATGCTCAGGATTTTCAAACAGTTTTTCCATACAAATATCTTATCAATCCATCACTCAATCATTTAACCCAACAACTATAATAATAAGTCAATAAAAGTCTGAAACTCTGAATATAATACCTCCGGTGCTAATGAACAAATTAGATTCTAAAGAAACTCTGTGCCAGACACTCAAATGCCGCCATATTAAACGCATCCAAAGAAGAAATTATGTCAAACACTTTCAAGTATGAAAAATATCACGATTTGTCTATTATTGTGTTCTAAACTTGAAATCACAAAATTGGCCTGGAAAGACAATATGTTATGTTGCAATCTAGTGCTAGTGAAGGCGATACAGTTTCACTAGTGTATATCATAATGTAGGCATTGCAAAAAGGTCTTGAATTATATAAATATATATATATATATATAGAGGAGCATAGTTTCGAGATGCACATCTCCAAAGTGTGAGAAAGTTTATTCCAAATATTTTTGCACAAGTAATACACATAATTTTATGTTAAATATTAGTGGTATTAGTGGTCTTAATTAAAAGAAATCCTTAAATACACATAACTTTATAAGTTTGGAAAGTTAGTAATTGTATTTTACAAATATTGACTTTTGTGAACCTAACGTACATAGAATATTCTTGTATTTCAGTGGCTATATACATATCATGGACCCCAATCCACCAAGAGACCCCAAGTGCAATAATGTTCTACTCTCTCGTCCCACAAAAATAATTCATATTGAATTTTGAATTTTGTACTGTTTTTAGTACAAATTTGAAAACTTAATGTGAACTACTTTTTTGGGACGGAGATAGTATTTTATTTTGGGTTACCTATGATTTTTTCTTGGTTTTGGTCCAAAACTAAACTCTAATATGATACATTCTATATATCAGGCTAGCTAGCTACGTTTTAATAGTCTAATTAATAAAGTTGCAGTTGTAAATACAAAATCTTAAATTAATAAAGATGCTACCTGATATACCTACCTAAACTGCTTGACCCATTTTTTTGTTTCTAGAAAAAACCTTAATGTAAAAATTAAAATAATTGCATCCTTTGAAAATGCACTATAAAATTTCCTACTTATCTTTCTGATGACGTAGGGATCTTTGGGAATAGCCCTTAGTATTCGACCAATATGAGTTCAAAATGTAGCCGAGTCTATTAAAAAGGCATGAATCAAAAGTGACGATGTGGTTGTGACAAAAAAAAAAAAAAGGTTACGGTGTGAAATTTGTATCGAATATCTTTGCATGTGACAATATTATCTGAAACTTAATAGGATATGCGGACATTTTTAAACCTTGTTTCCCCCTTTTTGTTGCAGTTTGATTGTTTCGGTTATCAAGTATTATAGGTCACAACTTGGTTGATGGTAAAGATATTTCAGAGTTCACAATTTTATACAGCTAAAGCAATCTCTTCTAAAGTAGTTGGGTATGGATCAATACATATACCATAACACTCTACTGAAAGTGAAAGAGATGGAGGAGTTGTCAAACCAAACTACTGAAGGGCTCAATAATGCATATTTTAGTTTCAGGATAATGTAAATAATACTTTATCTTCTTCTCTTCTTCTTCATTTAATTTTTAAAATAAAAAAAATACGTAGCTTTCTAAGAGGAGACACTATGAGTGTAGAAAAAAAGACAAAAAGCTTTAGCTGTGTGGATCTGTAATTAATTTATTTAAACTGATTTTTTTGTTTTTAACAAGCAACCACTAAAAAGGCAAATTACTTTTAGCAACCTTCCAATTTTTCTTGCTGTCCATTTTCTGGCATGTCCCCTACTTTTTGTGAAACTTTTCAACCCCTCAAATATATAAATTGATCATTTTTAGCCTCTTGTCAATGTTTACGGGAAAAATGGTGGACTATTGAGAATTAAAAACAAAAACTTTATCATTGTTCCAAAAACCTTAGCACCTCAATTACCAGAAGGGCCAAATGTTTGACCAATTTAAATGGCAGTTAAAAGGGTGAAATGTGAATGAGAATAGTAGTGGGGGCATCTAGTTAATTTTCCCGTTAAATGAATTAAAAATATTTGATATTTTACGGATGAGTTTGATTCTTTTTTTCTTTTCTTTTTCAGTCCTGCTTAAGTATAAACAAAGAAGAAAGTGAATCTTGTTTGGAAATTGAAGGACAATTCGTGTAATTCATGAATTCTAATATTGTGATAGTAGCTCTAGCTGGACTCAAGCAAGAATACATATATAAATAGCTATTTAAGTAGTAGTCAAAAACACATGCTACTATTTTGCTCTAAGTTCTTTTTTCCAAATAAATTGAAGTGGTGGAGAATATGGCTCCAAATTTCATGCTAATTCTTGCAGCTCTCTTGGTCCTTTCTCCATTTTCCCAAGCCTATGACAATGATCCTTTACAGGATTTCTGTGTTGCTGTGCCTGATGCTTCCGCGGCTGGTATGATACGTACTCTTGTTCATTATATCTTCAAACTCTTAATTATAAGAGACTTTTTTTTCTTCTTTTTTTTTTTTTTCCAAATTACTCTCACTGAGTTAGATTTGAATCCTGACCTCGTTCGTAGTTATAGTCCCTCGATTTGTATCTCCAGCTATCTTAGTACTCTTAAGCATGTTTTGGCTTACTTTCATTTACTGTTCTTGAAGTTGAATGATAGATTTGGTTTCATGGCCTAAAATAAACAACACTAAAAAGTTGGCCCAAGTTAAGACAGATTTTCATCAATGGTAATATAGTAAAGCACTCTATTGACAAGAATGTTATTTTTTTTTACCGAGTGATTTTGTGTTTTGCTCGTATATATCTTATTTTTCTCCAAACCATTTCATTGTATGAAGTTATAAATGGGTGTAAGATCAAAGTCCAGAATAAAAGAAAAAAAAAAGGAAAGAAATTATGAGAATATGGATTTCTAGCTAGTACCATATATTTTGCTTTCACTACGTACCCCAACCTTACTTTTTTATTCCAGATGGTTACCAATTATTTGTGGTAGTTGGATGGACTCATAAGTCTCAATCCGCTAGTCAAGAAAATATCTTTCCAATAATGATTTCTTTTTCTCTATGCATGGGGTCTTTTAACCCATGCGCATGTTCTTATTCAAATTCTTTTTCTTTTTTTTTTATTTCTCCAATTTAATCGTGTTGTTCTTCAATGTAAATATTTTTCTTTTTCTTTTTTTCGGAGTGTATGTATATGTTAACTTTCGCATGCAGTATATCTAACACGCGCTGGGAAAAAAAGAAAAGGCAAAAGCTAGGTATAAACTGAATGAAGTGTTTTAAAAAGAAAAATATTAATGGAATAAAAGTTGATTTTTGTTATAGATTCTTTTGAACATTTTTATATATTATTAAAGTTGGCGTCAGAAGTAACGTGCATTCCCTCCGTTCTAAAATTGGGGGTTCTATTTGTTAAATTAAAAATTATTCTCTCATTTTGATGCAGTGGAAAAGCTAGTCTTTCATTTTTTTCAGCTTTAGTCTTTTTTCTACCGTATATAATTTTAGATCTGTGCACAATAAAAACCAAATTAAACCTAGATAGTTACTCTCTCTGTCCCAAAATTATTGTCCAGTTTGAGATTTCATTTTTAATATAATTTAAACTAGAAATAAGAACCTAAACTGGACAATAATTATGGAACGGAGGGATGGAGTATTAGATATAGAAGTAAGTTCTCTAATTCCTTTTCTTTCTTTCATCAGTTTTTGTAAACGGAAAAGTTTGTAAGAACCCGAAGCAGGTCACCCCAGATGACTTTCTTGCGACGGGCTTCAATGTTCCCGCAAATTCCAGTTCCACAATTTCAATGGGATTTCGGGTAAACGTAGCTGATGTGAACCGGATACCCGGTCTCAACACTCTTGGTCTAACCGTAGTTCGGGTCGACTTTGAACCAAACGGGGTTGTTCCTCCTCACACTCATCCCCGAGCCTCAGAGATCATTGTCGTCTTAGAGGGGACGATCTATGCCGGTTTTGTCACTTCCAACCCGACCGATGGCACGAAAAATCGGCTATTTGCAAAAGTTTTGAACCCCGGGGACGTATTTGTCTTTCCAGCTGGGCTCGTACATTTTCAAATGAACGTTGGAAAAACCAAAGGGATGGGCATTGTGGCGTTCAATAGCCAAAATCCGGGTGTTATTTCAGTGGCCAATTCGGTTTTTGGAACAGATCCTCTGATTGAGGCTGAAGTCCTCACCAAATCATTTCAATTGGATAAGAAGACAATTGATTTTCTTCAGTCACGTAAATGGAGTTAACTGAGACAATAGTTACAAATCGCAACATGGAATGATGTATCGAACATCTCATTTTGTGGTATGTATGTATTGTGTACCATATTGCATATGATATGCAAATAATAAACATAAACTTAAAGCATCGTTCTAATCAATTTTTGCCATTATCTATCTCTCCATCGTTGCTTGCATTAGAGAGTACAAGAGATTAAACGCCATTAGGCACCGACAATGTGAAGCCATGATTTAATGTTAATTGATGGATTTGATATTTATAATCGCTATTAATATCTCCATCACATTTCAGCCAAAGGTCTAATAATTTACCGGTAAATTAAATTTTCGGTGTGCATATTAATTAATGAAGTTCCACACTTCCACCCCAATCCATTCCGAATAATTTTCTTGATGCCCTTAGGCCTTAGCCAAAGCACCAAATGTACATATATATGCTGACAAAATCTTCTTACGTGTATTATACATAATCATCATTTAGTTTTCTACTTTTTTTCTACGCTTCAACTCAAACAAATTAAGGCTTTAAAAAGGCTTCTAATCAAACTTCTTTGAGCAAGTTCTTTTTGAAACTAGCATCATGGAAAATCAAGACACCACAGAATATTTATGCATAGATCCAAAGTCAGCCTAGAAGTCAAATGTTCTCAAAAATTTCAACCCGTTCTAGATAAAGTAAGTATTCATTTTTCATCCTTCTCACCAGGAACGATTTCTGTCGGACTCAAAATACTATACAGTATACACCTGAACATGACCACTTTGTATTATCTTGATTCATTCAATAATTTTAAATCAAACTACACCTATATGTGCTTCCTCCCGGAAGTTGTTTGGATTGTTTGGAAAAAGAAAACCTAAAATATAGAAACCATTAAGACTTTCAAATTCCATGTTATGAAAATTTCGTGGTCGTTTCGACTTAAATAAATTAACCCAAGGTTTTCTTATTTTTTCTTAATATGAAGCTCGGTATCCGCAATATAGTACTCTCTCCGGTTTCAAATACATGTCACTGGGAGTTTTTTCACACAGATTAAGAAAAGAGATAAAATAATCAAATTACACTTATTTACTCCTAATCTACCTCTAGTCCTAATATCCACCTTAAACACAACTTCTCCTTGGAAATATTCTGATAATACTAGCAGTAATACAGAAGGTTAGTTGTATAATCCGATGCAATAAAAGTTTGATTTTTTTTTTTTTTTGCCAAACTACCCAAATCACTTCCATTAAAACATGCTCAATGATCAAAAAATTAAGTGGCCCTTTTTTGCCTTGCTAATCAAAAAAATGAGCGCCTTTTTTTTTGCTTAAAATTTTTAAAATTTTGCTTCTGATCCTTATTTATAGTTAGGAATCGATGCAAAGAAATCAAAAAATGAGAGGAAAAAATGAATTCAGCACAAGGTGATGATGCTAATGGTGAAAAGTTACTTTTTGATCTCAATAATGGTCCTCCGTCCGAGGGTGATAAAAATGAGGAAAAATTACTTCTTGATCTCAATAGTAGTCCTCCATCCAAGAGTTTATTGTTGGATGAGAAGTTGGATTGACTATTCTTGAGAATTGCATAGTTTATTAAATGAGGGATTGTTGGTTGAGGGATTTTAATTATGACGAAGGAAGATGAAGGTGTGAAAAGCTATGGAGAATCACGATAACATTGAATATAGGTTGTTGTTGTGGATGAGGGTATTTTTGGAAAAAATTAGAAAAATATACCTAGAAATGTGAGAACGACATATATTTGGGAATTTTTCAACGACATGTATTTGACACTGGAAGGAATAGTATTGTGAAATTCAACTTAACAACTCTACTAAAACAGATGGGGTTAACCAAACCACCAATAATTGTAGCTATAACATGACGAGTATATATGAATAAAAGAGTCGTTTTTCTTAATTCTAAATGTAATATCCTCGAATTTTGACATGTGAGGTTAAATATTATTAGTTACTATTAAATTGAAGTCACAACATTTTACTATAATCTGTTAAAATATTGGACTGTAAAAGCTATTGAGCCTTAAAATAAAAAACAGAACAAAGATTCCCAAATGCTAAAAACAAACAAGGTAATGCTTAGTAAGATTAATAATAAAAATAAATAAATGAATAATGACATCGAATATTGACCAAATAACTTTAATTTGTTTTGAGTGATTAAAACTAAGAGTTTTTGTTGTCCAAGTTGTTTTTGTCACCTTGACCTTACCTGGCTTTGTTAATGAGTAGGAAGTCTATTATATTCTTTTTCATGTTTTATTCGGTCATTTCATTCATTCTACTCAATGGGATGACTATATTCATATATATGTAGAAGGCTCTCCTAAATGCTCTCATTCCACCATATTCAATTCGAGCCATTCAAAACTTGAAATCAAAGCAACAATTTTTCTTAAAATTCTTGGTTTTCTAAACACCACGGGTTGAAATATTTTGCAGCTTAGCATCTTACCTTCATGTGATCAATAAATTTCCATTTGATGGTAAATTAATTAAACTAAATCAGGTAGAAAACCAATAAATTATTCGTGAGAAACTGGAAGCTTTGAACTAATAAATTATTTGGGAGAGGTGAGGATACAACAAGGTGGACACATAAATAATACAAGTAGGAGGTGTCCAATTTTGCAGAATTCTTCTAGGCTTCCTGGGCAAATCAACCGTAGGAATCAAGCAAAGCTAAAAAGAAATAGTAGGATATATATTAGTTTATGCGGGTAGCGCCAAAAAGAACGACCGCCTCACTTCTGACTTCTTTTTGTTCGAAGCTTAAAACCCACGCTTTTGTCCAGCTCTCGTCCTTCGTCCATTATTGTGATAAGTAATGTTTGCAGGATCGTGCTCTTACGTAGAATCGAAATGGGGTCATAGAATCAGATCATAAACGAGATCAGAATAGTAGGATCGTAAAGTTAATTATACATATTATATAATTAATTACTTTGATAATTAGATTTTAATTATTTTTTTACATAAAGTATTTAACAGCTAAACAAAAAGAATTGTATAAATTCAATTTTCTTATATGAATTTTTTCATAACTTTTTAAGAAAAACTCTTCTTTTATAGTTCTTCTTTTCATTTTATTAAAAAAACTTTCTAAAATATATTTTTCTTAGCAATAAAAGTTTCCTCAAAGAATATTTGCCTCAATTTAATGTGAACCAAAAGAAGTAAGAGAAAAGAAAAATCTCAATAAGCTCAATTAATTTTTTGTAATTGATGAATACTAAACTCGGACCGATCCTACGATCTTGACCAATCCTGTACGACCCTAACCGATCCTGACCGATCCCACTGCAAAATTCGAGTTTGATCGATTCAGGATCGATTTAGGTACCCGAGATCCTATGATCGCCAGTAAGCTTTCCTAATATTGAAAGCTGCTCCTTGCTCTCGAATCTTTGGAGGATTCAAATAGTGGGTTGCCTGTCAATTATAATGAAACCGAGCTTCCACAAACCTACATACTGATTTCTTGTTTATCAGATAAAGACCAAAACCACTAGCTATGTTAACCATATGCTACCGTTTGACAATAAAACCGGGAGAGCTAGCCTGGCCAGCCGTTAGTGTGTTGAGAAGACGGAATGAACTTGACAGGAAAGCTTTTCCTACTCCTATTTCTTAAGTTTCCCCTACGTGTAGAACCAGTTTGATCAAGCTATAAGCTCATAGGAAACAAAAGGAAAACGGAGGAGAAAAGGGAAGAAGACGACGAGGGGAAAGATTGGATTCCGATCTCGGCCTACACCGTAAGCTATTAATTGCTGTGCAACTCGGTAAATGTCCCTAACTTCCTAAATTCATGTCTTGCAGGTGAATCACTTTTGTTATTAGCATGAATGGAAAATGGTTCAATTAGGATCATAAGGTATCTAATATATATGTAAGAATAGTCATATGTAACAACATGGGATAGGATTTATTGTTTGCGATCCCGTTTGAATTCAAGTTGATGAAAGCTTTGAGGTTTTAAGCTTCAGCTAATGTTTAAATTATACCCTGGGAGCCCACTTATGTGGTAGAACAATATAAATCCTTGCAAATTAAAGAACCATAGGAGCCGTTCTGTTTGTTAAGCGAGTCAATACAAGTGTCAAGGTCTAAGGAGTAGCTAAGCGAGTCAATACTTTTCATCGCGGAAGAGAATAGTAAGCAAAGTCATTTTTGTTGCTTTGCGTTCTTGTGTCCAAAGGTACTCAGAGATTTATTAGGACAGCTCAAGTCCGCATTAAGATTGGGCACTATGTTTTGATAACTAGATAATAATTAAAGCAGTGGTAAAATTTGATGATGTAAAGGACTCTGTCCACTCCCAATTGAACATGATCTTGTAGGCTAGTTAATTAAATAGGTTCTAGTACTAGTTTTATCATTAATAATAGATGCTAGCTAATTGGATAGCAACTCGTTGGAGGTGGTGTCATGATGTAGTCTAAACGTTCTTCTTCATTAGTTAATGGTATATGACCTTGATGAAATGTTGATTGCAAAAATGCGAATACAAAATCGTCCCAATGTTAACCAGTGGAGGTGAGTAATTCTCGCTCTTTAAAATTGGAAAAATGAGAATATATATTTAAAAGTCACTTCACCCTCGAGCACATTTTTACATGTTATTGAGATATTAAATGCATGTCATTGAATGACACGATGGTGTACTTTATCGGGATATGTATTCTGACTATTACTGTATCTGAGATAAAGTAATATCGTTATGTGATTGAATGTTATTTATGACTGATTACTAGATTGAGTATGATCGTTGAATGTATTGCTTCTGGTAATGTACTTTATCACATCAAGACAACTATTGTTATTATTGATTGACTGTTATGCAATAATGTGTGATTGTTGCTTCGGTGGACTCTGTTCACTTGGAGTCTGGGTCCTGCCTTTGTTAAGCGAAGCCTTGCGGGCTGGCATCGGGCTTGGTCGCCTGTTTAGCTTACCTAGACTATTGTTGTTCAGATGGATGTGGTGCTCATAGGTATCAATCGGTGGCCACGAGGTGTTGAGGAGAAGATGTTGACATTGGATCATTATCGTTATCGTATTGTTGAAATCTGGTTTGGAATTCGTCTTCATGCCACGTAGGTTCTTTGACAGTCCTTGCTAAGGGTTCCCTGTATCCACCCATTGTTAATTGATTTATGTGAAATAACTGATTGTTAAATGATTATATGTGAATTTTGCTTTATTTTCGAACATTATTTTATGAAAATAGCTTTATTAAAAATATCATAGTAAAATATGAGAACTTTACTAAATTCGGCGCTCACCCTTTTTATATTTTACTCCCTATCCCACTCCCAGGTTTAGAACGGATGCATATAAGTTCAAGGAAGCGTTCTGTCAAAGAAGACCGCCTGCAAGATGCTGTCATTGATAAATTGTAACCCGAGATAGGTGTTAGTGAGAATATTAAGTCAACGTATTAAACTAGCATTTGAAAGTACTATTGTAGAATTTATGTAGTTTGTTTTAGAATTTATACTTGGAAGTAAATAAAAGTAATGCGCCTTGGGCGAGAACCCGGCGGACGGCTCAACTCGTAGTTAATTACGACATATGACAGCAGATAGGTGAGTTGAGTCGTCACACAAATTCTTCAATTAATCATAAATTTTTATTTTTATCTTTACTTTCATTTTCTATCTTTTTATGTATACATAACTTTATACATACATAAGAGGTATAGAAGTAACCCATTTTTATTTTATGAATGATTTGGTGAAAGTCAGCGAGTCAGCGAACATTTCCAGGTATACTTCAACTTCAATATGTTAAAGGTAATAAGAATACGTTCGGAAGAAAAAAAAATTGACAGAGTTCCCTTAATTTGTTAATGATAGCGGAACGAGAACTTTCGAAATGAAGACCGGTCCGAATTAGAAGATCGAAAAAAAATTATTCAACCATCATCAAAAAGTCAAAATACAAAATCTTCAGTAACCGGACACCTTATTAATGGAAAATCCGGCAGGCCGGAGTCAATGACGCCCTATTCCCTGATTCCGTCCATGGTTGTAAATTGATTACAAGTAACTACGTACTAAATTAACCATTTTTTCTTTTCCCGTGAGTTTTTCACCCCTTCCCCGAACATGCCCCTTCTGTCATTGGGTTTTCCTCTCCAATGTGTTTGTGTGTGTGTGTGGGGGAGCACTATACTCCTGAATAGATGAAAAGTTGGGTAACATATTAATTTTATTTTATCAAGGAAATATAACATAACTATCCATTCCGTCCTAACTTTAATATATAAATTTAAATTAAATTTAGTGTTAATTTGTGTGCTATAAATAAGGCCGTAGCAGATAATACATCCGAATCCATTATGCCTTGGCTAGCTATAATAACATCTCTGTAAACTCAGAATGCTTCAACGCAAAATAGAGTCTACGAGAAAGCTTACGAGCTAATATCGTGGTTAAGAATATAGAGGAAAAAATAGATAATATTTGCAGATATTTGGGATTTAAGTGAAGAGAAAATTTTGAGATGATTGTTTAGGATATTCGGAAGTAATTAAGGTGACAGAAAAGTGATTATGCTTAGCTGTTTTGTGTTAGGAAAGGATTTTGGGAATTAAAGTTTGTTTTCTGAAATAACATTACTCGTCAAACTATATACCTATGTAACCCAAATTGAAATGATATTCATTCAATAATTTTGTCTTGTCATGTCAGTGTTATAATTGTCATTAGTGGAAAATACATAAGTAGGATATATATGTTAGAAGTAATAATTCTTTTTGGTCTTGTCATGTTTTTCCAACTTGAGCAGTGATTAAAAATTTACCTAAAATTTAAGGCTTCATTTTGGGAGATTTTCAAATTTATTTTCTTCTTTTATTTTGCTTTTCTTTGTTCCATTCTTACTACATGTCCATTCATTACACTTATTTTCTGAAAAGAAAGCACACACAACAACCAGTAAGCAATCGTGCGTTTTTTTTTTCCTTTTTTTTTTTTATATGTACAAATTCTGTTGGTTTCAAAATTATACAACCATTCACGTTTAATATTTTTCAAGTAAATTAAGTTTCACCTTGAAAAATTAAAAGTTGGGAGACAGTTTTTTGTTGAAAAGAAAAAAGAAAAGAAAAGAAAAGAATAAATTTGTTAGCTCTTTATAAATTGTCTTAAATTCTTTAAATATGTAAGCACGGGGAGGATGAAGAGAAGTAACAGACTGATAGCTAATTCTACTTCTTTTAGGTTATTGAAGGTAATAGTTTTGCGGATTAGTTGTTATAGGAAAAAAAAACTCGAAACCCAGCGGGCGATCGGGTTGAAAAAGTTTATAAAAAAAAAAAAGAGGAAAATGGAGGTAATTCATAAGCAATGTTATGTACAGAAAGAATTGCACTAATATTCTTACATAATTCCAGTACACTTATACGATTCATATCAAATCTTTAAGTTGTTTCCAATACCTATTATAGGTATTCGTACAATGTTCTCACCTAGCTAGACGTAGAGTGACAAATTTAAATAATACTCCCTCCAGTCCTTAATATATGGCATTTTAATTTGTCATAAGTTTAACCTAGTAGACATTTTTAATATACGAAAAAACCTTTAAAATATTTTATAACAATCAAGAGAACACAAAGAAATAATTTAAAAAAAAAACACAAAGAATGTAAAAATATATTTTTAAATTTTTTTTATCAATTAAAAATGTGTACTAGACGAAACCTAAAAAAAGTCAAAATGTCTTATAATAAGGACCGGATGGATGGAGTAGATAAAAGGATAACAACTAACAAGTGCATTTGGGGTTCGCTTTCTATGTGAAGTTTCTCTAAACAAGTTAAAAGCCTAGAATCGGAAATGATCTTAAAAACCAAATGTATCCGGAGAAAAAAAAAAATCTCAATCTCGTATTTGCCTGAAAGAAAAACAATGGGGGGCATATGATCAATTACTATGTTAATTTAAATTACACGAAAACTAGTATGTGATGACATTTAATTTTGTACGCTGAAAAAAAAAAAAAAAGGAAAGAAAACTAGCCAGTAACATGTGATCATTTTCCATTTCTTTACATTTTAAACATTAAAGATATAAAAGTGAAAGTATGACTGTAACTGAAGGGCAAGATTATGACAAGATTAGAAAATTGGCATAATCATGACAAGGTTTATAAATTGTAATATTTGGCATAATTACAAAATGTAATTATGATGAAAAGATTTTCTTATTTAGCTATATAAATAATGTAGAGCTGTGTTTTATTACGCACATTCTGTTTGCTCAAAGTTTTTTTTTTTAAAAAAAAATGGCTCCTGTTTTCATCCTAATTACAATAGCCGTTATCATGGCCTTATCTTCTACCTACGCCAATGATAATAATCCTTTACAAGATTTTTGTGTTGCTGTTCCAGATGCTTCCGCTGCTGGTAAGTCCATCCCTCAAAATTCTTTTACATTATCAATACTTCCTTTGAGATCTGAATCTCAGATCTCGTAATTACATTTCCTCATCTGACTTTTTATTAGTATGTTTTTGCTTTGATTCCACTATTGTTCATGAAGGTGAATGGTGGCCTTTTAATAAAATGTCGCATATACTATAATTTTATGATATGATATGGGTATCGTGTATTATGAACGATAAATTTTTTGACTTTTGAAACAAATGTATCAATAAATATCTTGTTCATAATTGTCTTTTTTTTTTTTTTCTGTTTCTTCAGTGTTTGTGAACGGGAAGATATGTAAGAACCCAAAACTGGTTACAACCGATGATTTCGTGGCTACGGGTTTCGAAGTTCCAGCAAATACAACCAATCGTTTAGGATTTGGAGCAGCCACCGCTGATGTGAACAAGATACCAGGTCTCAATACTCTTGGCCTAACCTTAATGCGGTTTGACATTGAATCCAACGGCGTCGTCCCTCCTCACATTCATCCTAGAGCGACAGAGATGTTCGTCATCGTAGAAGGTACATTTTATGCCGGTTTCGTCACCTCGAATCCAAGTGATGGTACAAAGAACAAGCTATTTGCAAGAGATTTGAATCCAGGGGACGTATTTGTGGTTCCACCCGGGCTTGTACATTTTGTAAGAAATGTGGGAAATACCAAAGGGTTAGCATATGTGGCTTTCAATAGCCAAAACCCTGGTTTTATCGCGGTTACTACTTCGGTTTTTGGGACAAATCCTTTGATTTCTACCGAAGTTCTTACTAAATCTTTCCAATTAGACAAAAAGACGATTGATTATCTCCAGTCAAAGTTTGGAGGTTATTGATTGTTTATGGTTATGAAAGGATGCCATACGTTAGGTAAATTTGCGAGTCAAAAATGAAATCTTATTTTACGATGAGTATGCATCGTTCAATGTATCATGTTGTGTGAGATGCTCGGTTAATCTATACTCCCTCTATCCCATAATTATTGTCCACTTTGCCCAAAAAATTTTGTCCCAAAATTATTGTCCAATTTGACTTTTTATGGATCAAGTTACACATTTGTTCTTAGTAAAAAACATTATCCATAAAATCTTAGTGGTTAAACAATTACTTATGTAAGAGTATATCCAATTGTTTAAGGTAAAATATAGTTAAATTTGACCAAAAATAAAATCTTTCATTTTAGTAAAACTGGACAATAATTATGGGACGGAGGGAGTATTATAATGCACGCAAAGTAAAGTATGTTATTTTCATCAAGCAAATAGCTCAAGAAACTCGCAAGAATGTCGCATAAGGCCTAATTGTCTACTCACATTTTAACACAAGTATATGTAGCAAAATTCCTTATCAATAAAAAATTTCTTTATTCAGTTTATCAAAAACACTAAATATTTGGTCAAATCTTCCACCTTGTTGTTAGCTCTAATTTGGCTTATGCAATATTTCTAACTAGATGCTTAGCTCAGTCAGATGCCCGGGCGTCCCTCTATTTTAATTTTATGTTAATAGATAAATGAATTCTTGATTTGGAAAAAATAAAATAGCTACACATTTGGTTTTTTTTCCTTTTTTAGCAAAAAATAATTATAAAAATAAAAAAATCATCTGCCAAAGGAGAAAAAATATTGAAAAGTACAACGATTCAGAAATCATACAAAAGAATATGGAGTAATAAAGGGGATAAGTTTATGGACAAATTTAAATACTATTTTAATTTGATTGATAAATGATAAATGTTAGGAGTTAAAATTGTGTAACTATTTTTGTAAAGTAGCTTTTGTTTTTCCAGATAAGAATTTTTTTTTCCTTTTAAAAAGGGATGACACGTGGCAGAATGGTTAATGCAATATGGTGCATTTGGAGCCAAAAATAATAAGAAGTTGCCACATCAACATCCTGTATTCTGCTTTAATAGGGTAAAAAAGATGCATTAAGTAAATCACTTTTAAAATATAGCCTAGTTAGGTACCTCCACTCCAAGGTGTCAGTCTTAAAAAATAAAATAAAATCCAGATAATATAAATAGTCTGGGGCGTTATATATGCTCTGTACAAAGTAAACATCAATTGAAATAACAGATTTCAGTAGTTCTTATTCTTAGGCCTGTTTGCTTACATTTTGCATATTTTCAAGGTAGAACATACATTATATGGGTCGTCGCTTCTAACTCCCCATTCCCCAACAAGACAGTTGACAAAATTGGATTTTAAGTTCATTCCATAACTTGAATTAACTCCACCAATAATCTTTTAACTGTTTTACAAGTAATTAATAACTAAGTAAAAGCTTGGAGTTACTTAGTGTTAATCAAGATAATTTATCTTTTCTCTGAAAATTTAAGCTGGTAATTTGATTAACAGAAGTAACACTTACTAATTTGTCTCTGAATTAATATTGTTCAAAAACTACTTAGTTACAAATTAGTACTATGTTATGTTATGGCTGTATGTTACGAAAAGAGCATATAAATTGTTGACTTAATTTATGGGTTCTGATTTTGTGGTTTGTTTTTATTTAGATATTTAACTTTTGGGATTTGATTGAGTTATTTAATTTTGATGATTTGATAATTAATGGATAGGAGCCTTTTTTTTTCTTTTTTTTTTTGAATGAACCTCAAAACAAGTCATCAACCTTTAATATATTTCTACTCTAGGTCATCAATTAAATTTATTTGTAACACAGGTTACCTTACTAAAGTTTTAATCCATTTCAGATTATTCTGTTAATTTTGGTCGTTAAATAGTGACGAAAATCCATTTTTCACATGCTTTTGGGTTCAGGGGTATTTTTGTCATTTTATTACTCCCTCCGTCACATAATTATTGTCCAATTTTACTAAAATGAAAGATTTTATTTTTAGCCAAACTTAACTATATTTTATCTTGAACAACCGGATATACCCCTGTACATAAGTAATTGTTTAACCACAAAGATTTGATGGATAATGTTTTTTACTAAGGACAAATGTGTAACTTGATCCATAAAAAGTCAAATTAGACAATAATTTTGGGACAAAATTTTTTGGACAAAGTAGACAATAATTATGGGACGGAGGGAGTATTTTTTTTTATTTTTTGAGCTTTTTAAATTTTTTTTTTTACAATTTCTTTTCTTATACTTCCTAACTTGTATACACTGGTAGTATAATTTTAAATTTTAAAAATTTATTTTCCTTTTGTATTTTAACTTCTAGATTATAAATTTAAAAAAAAATTAAGAAATGAAGAAGAAAAATTCGAGTTAAAGTAAACATGAAAATTAATAATTTACCATTTTAAACCAAAAAAAAACTAAAATAACATTACCTAAGACAAGTTGTTTCTTCTAGGTTATTTAATTTTTTTCAACTCAATTGAATTATTTAATTATTAATTTTCACGTTTCTTATTCCTTTTTTTTTATAATCTAGAAGTTAAGATACAAATGACAAATAAATTTATTTTTGAAAATTAATTTGTCATGGAGAATTAGCTGAAAAATAAAATGACAAATGACAAAATTAATTATTGTTTTGATATGGAGAATTAGCTGAAAGTGTTTAAATTTCTGTGTTCATTAGAGTTTTCCAGCCTAAAATTGAGTATAAGTTGAAAAGTTATGGTTTAGAATGAAGTTCCTTTTTGTTGGATCAGGAAACCAAATGAGACAGACAGTTTTATGTCAACTAGAAAGCCAACATATTGGGTGTTTGTGTCTCATGTAGCCTGGTTTGAAGGAAGAACTATGCTTTTTTTAATTTGTTCATTTTTCTATTTAATTTTTTGCTAGAATGTGAAGAACGGATATTGAATTTTCGTTGTTACAATGTACATTCCCAAGAGGTGTTTTCTGCTTGCGTTTGTCTTTGCCTGAACATCTTATTATATAACTTTTCAGTTAGTGTCCCATGATAATGCCTTCATGAAACTAGAGTCTAAAATTTTCCATGACTTGTGCAGGACAAAGACTTAAGATTGTTTGTTGGCTTGCCATTGGCTACAGTATGAAGCTCCAATACGATAAATTATGCTCGAGCGATTGAAGCAGGGTTGAAAGCTTTGAAGTTGCTGGGATTCGATGGGGTGGAGCTCCCAGTCTGGTAGGGTGTTGCTAAGAAGGAAGCGATGGGGCAGTATGATTGGACAGGCTATCTTGCTCTTGCAGAGATGGTAGAGAAAATGGGCCTCAAGCTTTACGTATCGCTTTGTTTTCCCGCATCTGGAGAAGCTCGCATTCCATTGCCTCAATGGGTTTTTCAGATTAGTTAATCTCAGCAAGACATTTTATTTTCTGATCGGTTTGGCCAGCAGTATAAAGACGGTTTGTCGTTAAGTGTGGATGAACTTTCTGTTCTTGACGGAAATTCTCCAATTCAAGTTTACCAAGACTTCTATGAGAATTTTAAGACTGCATTCTCGTCATACATGGGCTCTACAATCACGGTAAGTTATATTCTAAGGCACATTTGAAATACCACTTGCTCATATTAATTTCACAATGTTAGTCATACTGAGCTGTTGTTTTGTGTTGTTGGATCTTATAAAGGGCACATCAATCGGTCTTGGACCAGAGGGCCAGCTTAGATATCTTCTACATAAGTAGGTCTTTGTTCTTCCTCTCCTCCTCAAATATTTTGTTCATTTTTCTCTGTCATGTTATATAAATAAGTTAATTTGTTTATCTATTATGGAAAATTTCTGCACATTTTTCAAACTGATGAAGTTTGCAGTTTTGTTTGTAGACGCTCAATGGATTTCAGTTGTTTCTTAGATCTAATTTTAGACATATTACTATCACAAGAATCTTCTGTTTCATTGACTAAGCATCTATAATCACTTCTGAGGCTGTTGTTTCATCTGAAATGTTCACCATGTTCATCAGTGATCAATTTTGATGAACCAAAAGGTGGAACAGAGTCTTCATTTGGTCAACAAGATATGGCAGGTCAAGAAGTGAAGAAACTATCTAGTTCTTTTGAGGCAAAGGTGCTAATAAAATATTCAAGGGAAGCTCAGGTTCAGGTATCAGAATAAAAAAAAACGTGGATTTGTTTTCTAAAAAGCTCCTGAATGCTTTGATGACAATATATGCTGAAGAGCTATTTTAGTTGCCTGAGGAGAAGGATTGGTTCGATGTAATCATGCTGAAGAAAGGTTCTCTGGCAGTTCTACTTTTGTTGCTATGGACCATTGATGTGTTTGTGCTCTAAAAATGGAAGCAATTTTCACTTTGTTGAAGAGAAGACAGAAAGGGCAAAAGGGGAGGTGGTGGTCAAGGATTTTGTTAAACAAAAAGGGAGGGACCTGAAGGAGGTGAGGAAACAGTCAAGTATCAACAACTGGGTAAGAAGGATTTTGCCCAAGGAGGACAAGCATTATGTGGGATTATGCATTTGGTTTTAATATTATGTTTTAATTTAGTCGGAATGGTTTTAAAATTATGCTCTAATTTTGATTTATGTTAGAAGATAAAGTGTGGAAAAGAAAATTTTGGAACAAGACAATTGCGAATAATAAAACAAAATTTAGGAAAGAAAAGTAAAAAAAAAAATGAAAATGACAATTTATGTAAAAATAATTTTTTTTTAAAAAAAAAAAGTTCACGAATTATTTTAAAGAAAAAGTAATTTTGAAAAAGACCTAGTCCAAATGACTTTTTAATATTTTTAATTACTAAAAGGGTTTTGAAAAATTCTTGTCCAAATACATTATTTTCCAAAAAGTACTTTTCTAAGTTTTGATTCAAACAGACTTTTCTAAACAAATTTTCAAAACTCTTGTCCAAATGGAGCCTATATTTTGCAATAACAAATTTAATCCTTATTAATACTGTGACCATCAAATAAAATTAGACCGTTAGATTAAATCCAATCAACCATTAAAATTGCTCAATTAAAGTTCAAATTCTAGGGTTAAAAAGACGTTCACTTTACCTTTTAGTTTTAGATATATAGTGGGTTCTCAAGCAATTTCGGGTTAGGAGTAGGATTAGATAGCAACTATTTGGGGTCTAAATATAAGTAGCCCAAAATCAATTGGGACTTGTCCATGGTCCAAATTTAGAACCTCTTCTCATTTATCTAATTTAGAATCTGAATAAGATGGAATATTTTAAATCCCTATCTTACATTCAATAGTAACATACATGACATTCAAGATCTTGGGAACCCGTAATTTGATATCGTGCATTCATTTTTTATTACTCTCCCCGTCCTATAATTATTGTCTAGTTTGAAATTTCATTTTTAATACAATTTGAACTAAAAATAAAAATCCAAACTGGACAATAATTACGGGACGGAGAGAGTATTTATTTTTATATATTTTTTAATTTTCTTATGTCGTTGGTTGATCATAAATCATGGTAGAGCTAAACATTTCTTCGGTACATTCAATTTCATGTTTCATGTACAAAATCTTGTCATGGAGATATGGAATGATAAATTGGGTGCCAGATTACTTATTTTGGATTGATTGTTAATTTCGTTAGAACATCCATTAACCTGTATTTCATTTTAAATAAGATTTGATCACTGGATTAATGAAACGCCGACTTAGTAGTCGTATCATTAGCCTTGACTTCACGTTCCCGAGATTATACGTACCTATGTTAGGCTTTCAAAGGGCTTCTAACCTCTAACGCATTGCCAATCAACTCAAACTGTAATATTAATATATTCCGGGCAAATTTCTTTGATATAACCATCATAAATATCAAAAGTCAACTTAGAGAAGCCGAAGTAATCAAAAGACTTGGAAATTGTTCTTGACGTCCTCGTTTTTGTCATAGTTCTAGCGAGCAATATGCATTGAAATTGGAATATAATAAACATATACTTGATTAATCAGCACATGCATATTCCGAATTGAATGGCATTAAACAAAGTTCTTAATTAAATTAGAACTTAGTTTTGAATTCAAAAGCAAAACAAATCAGGCAAAATTTTCAAGTTTCATCTTTATGAGAGTTCTAGAAGCTCGTTGCAACGAACATGAAGCTTTCTGCAACAAATCTGACTTCGTTTATAATTCAATCTGCATATGTCTTCAAAAAAGTCAATATATTTGGTCGAACTTTTGCTTACTTTGGAATAGTTTTAATTGCATGATCTGAACAGTTTTTCGTTCTAAAACATGAGTCAAATTGCACGAAAATCATTCCAAATCGTGCAAAAGAACTCGTAAGAATGCACAAATATATAGATCTCACTGAGCGTAATCAAATTGCACGAAAATCATTCCAAATCGTGCAAAAGAACTCGTAAGAATGCACAAATATATAGATCTCACTGAGCGTAAATATTTAAATAAGAACAATGGTATGTGTAGTAAAATATTCATAGTGAAAAACATAATGACTGATGTAATATAGCTTTCCTAACTATTTGTTGATAGTTTGCCCTTAATATTTAACTTTCCCTCGAAAATTATACATTACTCTTACTCATTATATTCACATCAATCACTATATATTTTCAGTATCTTTATTATTACTCCTTAAATAATTCTTATTTTAGGTTACTTTACTTGCAATTTATTTTCACATTTCCAAGGTAGAGCATCTAGGTTCATTCCATTCATTCAAATCAACTCTGACAGTCCAACCCTATAACTAAGTTTCACCTCTTCTTCTTCTTCTTCAAAAAAAAAAAAAAACTAAGTTTAACCTTATATTTTTTTGATTGACCTAATGATAATCGAATCCTCGACTCTCTCATTATAATTAATGACAATGACTATTTTAAAGGGTTATTTGATGAACAAATATGGAAGATATATAATCAGAAAAAAAAAACATAATTTGTTACGTAAAAATAACAAGTAGGGAGAAAGTAATGTATCCGTCCCGCAAATAGTCTAGTTTCAAAATGTATAATTTTTTTAATTTAGTCATCCCTATCAATGTACAACTCTTGCTTCATTGGAACTTTCATTTTTAGCGCTGATAGAAAATTAATTGAATCATCGCCACACTAATATAAAAAACGCAGCACCGTAGGTTTTCCAAAGGAGCCGTCAACCTCCAACCGCCGCCGCTGCTTTTCACTTATTCTTATTTGCTACTGTCTGCCGCTGCTGTCACCCACGAACATCAGTCTCTTCATTTCCAATTGGCTTTCATCATCGGATTTCACGTCTTCACCTACCGTCGGAAAATTTGGGAATTAAGATTTCATTGTTGTCGACGGGCCCGGCGCCGTCAGAATTGAAGTTGGGTTATTGATTGAATCGGGGAATTGGAAGCAAGGATCTTGTTTAAAACTAGCACCACTCCGATTTGAGAAAAAAGACAGGAATGGAATACCTCTCTTTCGTGAAAGTCTTTGCTGTTGCCCCCCATTAACCTCTTCACCGGTCCGTTTATAAAAAAGGGCAGCTAAGTCATTTTAATTGTTTTAATTTTGACTTTTCGGAAATTGGACTATTTTTTTTAGAACAAAATTTTTTATCAAACTGGACTATTTTTGTGGGACGGAGGAGGGAGTATATATTTAACTAATTAAGATGCTATAGCTAAAAAATGTCTGTTAGGGGACATACATTTTGGTCTCGTCGTACGACTATTAGTACATCTTTCAGAAATCTTGGGATAAAATTCCATCAGAGATTCAGAGTTATGCAAATCGATATTAAGATTTTTTATTTTTTAGCCTTTGTTGTTATTATTATTTCTTGAAAAAAAAATCATTATATATATATATATATCATAGTTTTTAGTGTTTAAAAAAAAAACCATGTAACAATGAATCTGAATCCAGCCAGATCATTACGTAAGATATGAATAGAGAGGTAGATGGTATGCTAAAGTTAGATGGATGATTTGGTGAAGACTAGTGCTCTCACCACCAGCAAATTTCAATTTTCAACTTGGAGCCTTTCTGGCTTATGATTGGAACATTTGTTTAACCTATGAATCAATTGTCGTCTTCTGGGATGCATCCTTACTATATCTTTAGAAGGCAGTTAAAGTTTTTTTTTTATTTCTTCCCCCTAAACAAATATGGGTATCTATTCCCTCACTTACTCCCTCCGACCGCCACTACTATAAGTAAACTTTTTAGTTGAATATTTCGTATTGTATGTACTTCTAGATCAAGAAACTTTGCCCACCACACGAAAATAAAAATAGATGAATTAAAATAGTAAAGAAAGGGAAAAAAAATCAGAGGACTTTTTAACTACCACAAATATTAGGATTATGTGTTTCTCTAATATTCTCTACGCCCCGATATTTTTGTCAGACTTTGGATTTTCATTTTTAATTTAAATTGTACTAAAAATGCAATCCTAAAATATAATAATTTTGGGACAGAGAGAGTATAAGAATTCTCTCAAGCTACAAGCAATATTCTACATTTTGTAAAATTTTAATTGCGACTAGTCTACCTGCCTTTCTTAGGAATGGGTGACCGTCGGATTAGTCGAAAAATGCTTAGGCTACTTGTGAATAGAAATGTTATTAGTTTTTTTCTTATAAAAAATATAAAATGATGTGTTAGGATTTTTTTTTTTTCTCAAGATGCAAAACATACACAATCTTGAGACAATCTGACTAAACATTGTCGTACAAATGTTCCTCAAATAACAATTAAGAATTAGGCCACAAAAATAGCTTATCTATATTCCATTAATTTATTAAGTAAGTAATATTGTTTAGGATGAAAATAATTATCATTTTATTAATAGAACACTAAAGAAACGAAAAAATCGAAAGACAATGACGACCCCAAATCTCATCTCAAAGTCTCAGCCTCTCAGGCTACACCTTTTATACCTTACAAATATCTCCATCGCCACCAAGTCATCTTTAAAAGCTGATGCGGGTAAATAATGACTGAAGGGGACAGATAATAATTAATATCTGAGGGACCAAAAAGAAATAAAGATGATTATAATTTTCCACCTGCCGTTGCGTTACGTTGTCTAACATGGCAATTTATTTATTTATTTGATTTTTCAAGACTCCAATCATTTGGCAGAATAAGAAAAGTCCAGGCATATGCAAAAATCCATCAAAAGCAAAGTCAAATTGTGTATAAGAAAATAAAACAAGACATATATATCAATAAATTTTTATTTGAATGAGTTGTATTGTTGCCAAATTGCATAAATTGTGGCAATGTATTATATAATTCTATCTAAACAAATGTAATCTAAAAACTTCCAACCAAAAAACTATAATGAATACAAGGACAAAATAAAATTACGTATTCTCCTCTACAACAGATGACTTTGCTACCTAGTGAAATCCCATTTGTGCCCTTTCTTCTTCAAGCTAGCAGCTCCAAAGGCAGACAATCTGACCAAGATCAACGAATTCTATACCAATCTAGTAATCCTGAGAAGAATTTTCCTCCTAAAAAATCTATGTGTATATATGGGGTTAATCAAATCAATACACATAAACATAGATATGAAGTCAAAGATCAAAAATATTGTTGTTGAATAAATCAAGATTTGGTGTATTTGGGGAGGCTATTCTAGGTGAAATGAAAGTGGAAGGACTGTAAAAGAAGCTACCTTCTAAGTAATGTTTGTTGTTGTGTAATACAGGGCTAAAATCATGGAAAAACCCTAGAGGGTTTTGATTATGAGGATCTGATGGTAGTGGGGAGAAGAAATTCGAAGGAATTGGTTGTAAGGAAGCTGGATTTGGTGATAAGATTCCCGGAAACAGCCCACTTGATCTTTCTAGCCCAGCCAAGATATCATCCTCTACCTCATTTTCATTCATTTTGGCCGGTTTCCTCCCCGGCGGCGACTTGGCGTTTTCTATGGACGCAAACCTTGCCGCCGGCGACAAAGCCCCGACCCCAACGAACTCTTGGAAACCCGAAAATGCTGCCGAATTCTCTTCTGTGGATGTGACCATAGATGATGATGTAGTGGAGTGATCTGGACCGGTGAGACGCTGTACTAAAGTCATGAACTCATTAGGGTTTGCATGGATTACCTTGGGAGAAACGGTGTATATGATCACCGGAGGCCGCGGCGGAGCAGATGGCACCGCCGGATGTTGTGGCGGAGGAACTGGTGGCTTTCTGATCTTGTGTGAGTCTTTCCGGACTTTTAAAGGGGCTGGCCGGGGTCCTTGGAGGGTGCTACTCCTCGGGGATTTAGAAGCGCCGGTAGCCGGATTGTAATAATCCGGCATATCCATGGATAATCGAAGTATAAATTATGAAATGAAGTTGATTTTTAATTTTGGAGAAGGAAACTATAAAAGAGTAACAAGTAGAGTTTTTGATGCTGATGATGAGGAAGTTTTGTACTTTTTTTTATGTTTTAGATTTAGAAAATGTGGGGTTAATTTTTCGGTCATGGGATATATAAAGTGTTCAAGTCAATGAAGTGAGGAGACTGGATAACATAACTGAAAATAAATGTTATTGGCCAGTTTGACATAAAATAATGTTGGTTTTCTTTCTTTTAAGGTTTGTTTACTCGGGTGAGGCCGGTTTCGTAGTGTTATGGATGTTTGAACATGTCTAAATATATGTCAGAATTGGGGGAGCTTCGCAAGAAGGAGTCTTGTGCCGCGTTGGATTGGTTCTTGATGACGTAGCATTTCCATGTCAGAAGCTTGAGGACCCAGCAAAGTTTATTTTAGTTTTCCCTCTAATAATGATACTCCCCCTTTGTCCCAAACAAAATTTGGTAAAATTTATATTGAAATTGAAATTTCAGAGATTTTACTATAATTGGAGTGCTTTAAAAAAAAAACTTGTGTGCATTAGTGAGCTATCCTATAAACAAAATTAGATATTTCTTCCGTCTCAGAATGATTGTATAGATTTTGAGTTTTGATATTAGTCACATAAATACAATAACACGACATATATTGGTGGAGTTTGCATTTCGCAACAATTGGTCGATTCATTATCTGGACTAAATTTTAATCGTGATATGATATCATAGGAGTTTCTTATCCTCCCAATATAATGTCTCAAAACTTAGATTTTTGGCCTTCTCTTTGTATGAAAGGAGAATATTATTTCAATTAGAAACTAAATTGGTGATAAAAACTATATACATATGTTGTAGCTAGTGGTAATTGAGTTGGACATTAACTTGATGGAAAACCAACCCCCCAAAAAAAAAAAGAAAAAATAAACCTAGTTGCTTGGAGAAAGTCGCATAGTTGTTTTAACCATTGAAATGATATATATATATATATACATATATATATATATAGATATATATTTATATAGAGAGAGTTCAAATGATTTGCAGGAGTGCGATAGACATAGATAGTTTCGATTTTGAGCTTGAATTTTTGTAGCTGATCAGTGTGTATGCTAGCTGGAGAATAGCTAATTTGTGATACATCTTATTGCGCTCAAGCATATAAACACAGCTTTAATCAGTGAGATACTTTTTGGCTGATCACTTTCCGCAATCCGCATCAACTCTTTCATTAGTAGAATAACATAGAGTCTTATTTTTTGTTTTGGTTTTTTTTTTTTATTTCTCATCGGCATTGGTGACTAGTTTAACTCACTGACTAGTAAACACGTTGAAAATAATACATCTAGTAAAAGAATTAAGATACATTCAGAGCGAATTTCAATTAATATTTCATAGTGATAATATTATATACTCCAATATAAAGGGTTTCTCAGCTTTTAAGTTTGTTTTAAGTTATAGTTTGAAGTACTCAGACAATGTCTGAGTAAATCCTTTGTCTGAATCAAACATTTGGCTTTTGTTTACATAAATTATACATGGAAGCTCTATCTCCTTCTTCTCTTTTAATTAAAATACGATGATTTGAGATTGGTTCCAATCCCGAGTTCAGTCGGAAAACTCAACAATAAGTGCATTGGGCTGGAAAAGTACCCGCTATGATGAATTGTTTTAGGGGAAAAGAGGCCACATGATGCACAATAAGTTGTGAATTCCAGACAGGCTTGAGAGTTGGGTGAAACTTTTCCATGCATCTCGATTATTGATATTTTAATTAAGGATGGATAGAGATTTTGATCCTGTAGCTGGCTGACAAGGCATAGCTCCCGGATGAATGGTATCAGCCAGGGTGGTGGTTTGGATTCCGGCCTGGTTTCCTTGCTCGTCTGTTTGCCTGGTCTTACCGGCTAAGATAAGCACTGGCCAGGCCCCAGCCCCACGCCAAATTGGTATCAGAGCATACTAAGATATCATCAATGTAAACAATTATAAAATCCATATAATGAATAAATATATCATTCATGATTTTCTGAAATTCAGAAGGAGCATTTTTTAATCCAAATGGCATCACATTCCATTCAAATTGTCCTATAGGCACATTAAAAGCAGTTCTATAAGTATGCTCAGGATTTATTTGAATTTGCTAATATCCAGATTTTAAATCGAATTTAGAAAATATGTTGGCATTATATAATTTTGATAATAAATCTTTTTTATTAGGTATAGGATATCTTATCCATTTTAAAACTTTATTAAGTGGCTTATAGTTTATTACTAATCTTGGGACGCCACGTTCTTTTTCAGCTGCATTATTAACATAAAATGCAGTACATGACCAGGGAGATTGTGAAGGTTTTATTAAACCCTTTTAAAGCAAAGAATGTAATTCTTCTTTACATAAATTCATATATACAGAATTCATTTGACATGGTCTTGCTTTAGTAGGAATATCCTTTTCATTAAAATTATCTTCATAAGCGAGATTAACTAAATGTTTCTTTCTATTCCAAAAAGTATTTGGGTGATCAGCACATACTGATTCTTGAAATTGTATTGTAATATGTTTTATTTTTTCTTGTAATTTAGTATTACTCAGTAATTCAGGTATTGATAAATTCATAATTTCATTTTTAATGAAAAATAATTGTTTTTCTTTAGCTTCTATTAATGACCTAATAGACCTTGTTATAGGGTCTGAGACAAACTGAAAATTTATTGATTTATCTTTATAGGTTCCTGTAAAACCTTGAAAATTAACTTCTTTAAGTGGATATAACATACATAAAAATGGAAGTCCTAATATAATAGGCACTCCTGGCATATTTCTTACCAATAAAAATGTTTGTGGAAGACAAATATTATCCTGACAAGCAAAAGCATTAGGCAATTTATATGAAATACCTAATGTATGATTAGATGCGGATTTTAATGCATGCGAGGTTTTTTCAAAATATTGCGTGGGTATTAACCCTTCTTGAACACAAGACAAATCAGCACCACTATCAATCATTGCAACAGTGTTTAAGACAAATTGTCTATCTATCATTAGAGTTAATTTTATATACCATCTTTGAGATGTAATTATTTGTATTGTTTTTAAGAATTCATAATTATGATCTTCAGATATATTTTCAGCTAAATTTTTAATAGTTTGTGGATCAACTATAGAGGTTTCACCTGATTGTGAATACTCAATTGTTTTAATCCTTTTTTCTAATAATTCGTTATTTTGTTTCAAATATTTTATTTCATTCTTTATATTATGAACTTCTATTTGTAAGTCTGCAATAGTTATAACTGAAGAAGATGATTCTTCTTTATTTAGTAATTTTTTCATTCTTTTTTCTATTTCCTGCATTGAATAAGGATTAGTATTTAAAACTATATCCTTTTTATTAACTTCCTTTTCTTTTTTATGAGACACATCAATCATTTTAATTATTTTATCACGAATATCATGATCTGGTATTTGTTTTAGTAATTCTAAAACATTATCAGTTGTTAACATGTTAAATTGTAAATCTTGAAATTGAGATATAATATTGTAAAGACTATTATCCTTACAACAATCATTATTATTATTATTTTGACATGGAAGACATTCATCCGAAGAACTAGATGAATATTCATCATCTTCAAGCATATTATTTTCGGAGCTATTAGTTTCTTCTGTTTCAGACTCAGTTTCTGATTCTTCTATTACTTTGCATATTTGTTCTTTAAGTTGTTCATCTATTTCTAATAATCTAATTCTATTAATCTTTTTACAATTAGGGGCAATATGACCCTTTTGACCACATTTGAAACATTTTATGTCTCTTTTATTTTTCTATTAATTTTCTAAATTCTCTTTGTTCTTTTGTTCTTTTACGTCGTCGTTTCCCTTTAGGTATATAAGGAATTTTATTTTTCTTCATTCTTTTATCCCTATTTTCTGGCCCAATATCCATAGCAAATTGATCACAGAACTGACCTAATTGTCTTCGTTCTGATAATTGTTGTCTTTTAATTTGTTGACTTAACTTTATTTCATTACATAAAGCTAATCCTTCTTGTGTGCAAACACCTATTAGATGACCATAAGTATAATCATCATAAGGAATGTAAGGAAAATCTTTCCTAAGAACTTTTCTTATTCGTTCAGCAAACAGAGTTGGTAAGCCATCTATAAATTTAGCTTTCCAATAAGAGCTATTACTTTCGGTAATTCCATGACTCTTGATAAGAATGAATCTTTATACCATCTAAAAGAAGTAAGTGTTTTACACTTAAAATTATTCAACAATGTTCGAATATTTTCTTGACTATTAGTAAATTTTCCAGAAAAATGTTCTAATATAGATGCTATCAAAGTATATCTGCATCTTCCATCATAATGGGTGTAGATGTTCCTTCATTCTCAATTTTGACTGTATTATAAATTTTTGTCTATCATTTTCAGTTAAATAATTATCCCACCATCCTTTAAGGACACCAAGTAAAACCACAAACAATCATTTTGCGATTGCACGATCGTATTACCATTTGCTTTTGCAACCGAGGAGTACATTAACATCCTATGCACCATATTAGTTAATTGCCTATCGGTAAATGCGTCACAATTCCATTCATAAACGAACGACTACTATAACTATTAGTAGTTTCTTGATGTTCTTCATAAAGAAGATCTTGTGGAGAAGGTCGAGGGTAATAATAATGATTCATATATGGTTTATTAGCAAATTTATTATGTCTAGATTTATTAGAAAGACGATTTATTTCATCTCGTAGAGTTTTATCAAAATCTTTCGCATATTCTCGAGAAAATTCTAAAGTGGATAATTTAAGGTTTTAAATTTTTCTTCCAATAATTTTCTAATACATGTGGAGATTCAAGATTATAATCTTTTACTATAGGAGGAGGTTGTATAAAATTTTGTATTTTAATATCCTTATTTTTGTTTTCAATCAAAACTGGTTTAATGTTTGTTGAAGATTATTGATAAGAGAAAATAATTTGTCAACTTTATCATGTAAAGAATTAATTTGTTCTCCTAAAATTTTTACATATAAATTTGTATAATTATTTTGCTGAATAAATTTATTTACTAAAGAAACATAGAAGGTAAAACTTCACTTTCAATCAATTTTGAAAGGCGGAAAAAGTTATATGAGTTGCATTTGCTAAAACAAACTCTTTTTGGGGAGGGTAAATTCCTTTTGTAGTTTTCCCATCTGCAAGATGATATTCTCTTTCGAGGAGGAAAATATATTTATCAAGATAAG